CTTGCCTCTAGTGTCCTCTGCTATGGTATAGAGTCTCATTGGACCACAGTGATACCATGAAATCACCAGTGCCAATTCCTACCAACAAATCTAGACACTGATCAAAGATAGGCTGATTATCCTCAAGATTATAACTATCCATGCTTGGGTTCTATGCCAGAAGAATCCTTGGCCATCTGGAAGAGCAGACATGGTAAGTGAAATGGTACAACAAAACTCAAATGCCTGAGGAGGTATCCTGGATAGGAGGGTGAAATTTCTGTGCTGGCTTCTCAGAAGCTACCATGACTCTAAGAAGATGTATCGCATATATTAATAGCTGGTACCTGAAGATAAAGAAGAATGTGTTCAAAAAAACACAATTTCTCATGAAAAGCATCCACTGGCTAAAGGCCAAACTAGGCCTGCGGAAAGCTCCCAGCTGACCAGACTGAGACCTGAAGTTCTACAACAAAAGGAAGCACATGTGTGCCAGTGATGAGTGGCTCCAGGCCACAGAGGAGGAGATCATTACGACAGTTCAAGGAGGAAGAGACCAAGAAAAAAAAAAACTGTGTCTGTTTATTGCAGCCTCGGCAATTATATAGACCTGTTATTCAATAAACCAAGCCTTTATCTGCCTGCCAAAAAGACAATAATAAACATTTTCAATATTTTTGTTTTAGGTTGACCTTTCCTCTAAATTCATGCCTCAAATATGTGTATCCACCACCTTCAAGTACAATCCTAGCAAACATAGTAAATGCCTTGGCAAGCGTGCCAAAGTTCTATGTACAAGTAAGTAGAATAAAGCTTACTTTCCTGAAAGTAAATTCTTGTTAGTTTAATACATTATTTTTTGTGATAATTCTCATTCATGATAGTATCAAATCAGTGCCAGAAAGACAATGATACTGTAACATTTTAAAGGTAATAAAATATTACTTTAAAGTCAGTTAGTATTACAAGCTATGATAATAATGAATCCTAACAAACTAACAGGAAAATAACACCTTTGGTAATGCTTATCACTTTAAGATATACCTTTATGTTGAAATTCTTAAAGGAAAGACATAATGTGTGCCATATCAAATGTAGATATTAAGTATACAGAGATACTTTGAATTGTAAAATATAGATGATGTTTATTTTCTTTATTGAACCTCAGTGTTTAATAATTTCACAATAACCAGAAAAATACATAAAAACATTTATATAGACTTTATATTGCAGTAGTTCTTAGGAGTGGGAATAACTGTTTTGGAATTATAAAGACAAAGGTGGGCTTTCTAATACAGTGAATCAATAATGTTATTATAGTAAAATTTTAGTACAATACGTGAAAGATGTACGTTGAACCATCATTTTGTAGTATATAATTTTGAATATTTTATCACTCCAAGGTTCTTCATCTTATGAATAAAATGAACTTGCCCACACCTTTTGGACCAATTACTGCACGACCTCCTTTGGTAAGAAAGCTCTAGAATTTTTAGGAACCAAAATTTCTCTTCCTGAGTGAGATTGTTATTGTTAAGTGCCATTGAGTTGGCTCTGACTCATAGCGTTCCTATGTACAACAGAACGAAATACTGCCCGGTCCTATGCCAGCCTCACAATCCTTGCTATACCTGAGTCCATCCTTGCAGCTACTGTATCAGTCCATCTTGTTGAGGGTCTTCCTCTTTTTTGCTGACTGTGGTGGTTAACACTGTGTGTCAACTTGGCTAGCATGGTTGAGTAGCTGGGCAGCTGGATGTAGCTATTCCCCATGTTGAGATTGGTAATTAACTCCATGGTGGAATCTATTGGAGCAGCTGAGTAGCTGCTTTGGGTGTGTTGTCTGCTTCCCGTATATAAGAAGCAGCTTTGGGAATGGGCTCCAGCTTATGGCACACTTGAACCCTTCATGTAGCATTGTTGTTCAGCAGCCTGCCATGCTCTGCTAACATTGGGACTTTGCCATTTTATTTGTTGACCTTGGACTTGTTACCCTCAGCAGCCAGTAGCTGCCTGAGTGAAGAGATGCCTCTAGCTTCAGTGGGCCGGGAGCAAGAGGCAGGCAGAGCCCCCAAGGTCGAGGGACTTTCACCCACCCCTTAGAACCTGACACTTTGAACTTGGACTCAAAGCCTGCAAACTCCTGTTTGTTAAGGCCATCCCATTTGTGGTGTCTTCTGTTAGAGCAGCACTAGGTAAGCAGAACACTGACTATCCACTTTACCAAGCATGGTATCCTTCTTCAGGGAATGGTCCCTTTTGACAACAAAGCAAAGTAGGTGAGATGAAGTCTGGCCATTCTCATGTCCAGGGAGCATTCTAGCTGCACTGCTTCAGGACAGATGTGCTACTTCTTCTGACAGTCCATAATACTTTCAATATTCTTCTCCAACACCACAACTCAAAAGTATCAACTTTTGTCTGGTCTTCCTTATTCATCGTCCAGCTTTCACATGTATATGAGGCAGTTGGCACACTTTAGTCTTCAAAGAGACATCTTTGCTCTTCAGCACTGTAAAGAGGTTTTCTGCAGCAGATTTGCCTAATGCAATACATGATATGATTTCTTGACTGCTGCTTGCATTGGTGTTGATTGTGGAACCAATATGAACTCTTTGACAACTTCCATCTTTTCTCTATTTATTGTGATGCTGCTTATTGGTCCAGTTGTAAGGATTTTCATTTTCTTTATGTTGAGGTGTGATCCATACTGCAGACTATAGTCTTTAGCCTTCATCATTAAGTGCTTCAAGTCATCTTCACTTTGAGCAAGCAAGGTTGAGTCGTCTGCATATCACAGGTTGTTAATGACTCTTCCCTTTAATCCTGATGCCATGTTCTTCATATAGTCCAGCTTCTCTGATTATTTGCTCAGTGTACAAGTTGAATAAGTAAGCTGAGAAGATACAACTCTGATGCAATCCTTTCCTGCTTTTAAACCGTGCAGTATCCCCTTGTTCTGTTTGAACGACAGCCTCTTGCTCTATGAACACATTCCTCATGAACACAATTAAGTGTTTTGGATCCCATTCTTCTCAAAGTTATCCATAATTTGTTATGATCTACACGTCGAATGCTTTTGGATAGTCAATAAAATACAAGTAAACATCTTTCTGGTTTTCTGTGCTTTCAGCCAAGATCCATCTGACATCAACAATGATATCCTTCATTCCATATCCTCTTCAGAATCCAGCTTGGATTTGTGGAAGTTCCCTCTCAATATACTGCTGCAACTGTTTCTGAAATTCTCTTCAGCAAGCTTTTACTTGCCCTGGTGGTGTAGTACCTAAGGCATTTGACTGCTAACCAGAAAGCTGGCAGTTTAAACGCACCAGCCACTCCTCGGAAGGAAGATTGGGGTACCTACAGAGATGCTGCCTCAGAAACCCAAGGAGGGGTTGCTGTGAGTTAAATGGATTCAACAGCAATGAGTTAGAGTTTTTTGTTTTGTTTTGTTTTGTTTTTTAATGATATTGTTCAATTATTTCCACATTTTGTGGGATTGCCTTTCTTTGGAATGAGTACACATCTGGTTGTCTTCCAGTCAGTTGACCAGGTAGCTGTCTTCCAAATCTTTTGGCATAGACAAGTAAGATTCTCCAGCGCAGCATGCATTTGTGTTTTTCACCAATTCCTTCAGTGCAACTTTGACTTCTTCCTTTAATGCTATTGATTTTTGATCATATGCCACTTCCTGAATGGATGAACATCGACTTATTCTTTTTGGTATGGTCTCTGTATATTCTTTCCATCTTCTTTTGATGTTTCCTGCATCATTCAATGTTTTGCCCATAGAATCTTTCACTATTGCAATTCGAGGCTTGATTTTTTTTCTTCAGCTTGAGAAATGCTGAGCATATTCCGCCCTTTGGTTTTCTAACTCCAAGTCTTTCCCCCTTTCATTATAATGATTTACTTTATCTTCTCGAGCTGTTCTTTGAAATCTTCAGTTCACCTCTTTTATCTTGTCATTTCTTCCATTTGCTTTAGCTAATCTCCATTCAAGAGCAAATTTCAGAGTCTCTTCTGACATCCATTGTGGTCTTTTCTTCCTTTCCTGTTTTTTTAATGACCTTTTGCTTTTTTCGTGGATGATGATGTCCCACAATTCATCTGTTTTTTTTTTGTCATTGGTGTTCAGTGCGTCAGATCTGTTCTTTTGATGGTCTCTAAATTCAGGTGAAATATAATCAAGGTCATATTTTGGCTCTTATGGACTTGTTTTAATTATCTTCATCTTCAACTTGAACTTACAAATGAGCAATTGATGGTCTTTTCCACAGTCAGCCTCTGACCTTATTTTGGCTGTAGATACTGAGCTTCTCCATCACCTCTTTCCACAGATGTAGTTGATCAGATTTCTGTGTATTCTATATGGTGAAGTCCACGTGTATAGCTGCCGTTTATGTTGTTGAAAAAAAGATACTTGCAATGAATAAATCATTGGTCTTGCAAAATTTCTGTCATTTGCTCTCCAGCATCATTTCTATCATCAAGGTCATATTTTCCAACTATTGCTGATTCTTCTTTGTCCCCAACTTTAGCATTCTAGTCACCAGTAATAATCAACATGTCTGTATTGGTGTGTGATCAGTTTCAAACTGCAGAAGTTGCTAAAAATCTACAATTTCCTCAACTTTGGGTTTGGTAGTTGGTTCCTGAATTTGCATAATGGTAGTATTAACTGGTCTTCTTGTAGGCATATGGATATTATCTTTTCACTGACAGTATTGTACTTTGGGATAGCTCTTGAAACATTCTTTGTGACGATAAATGCCACATCATTCCTCTTCAATTTGTCATTCCTGGAATAGTAGATCATATTATTTTCTGATTAAGAATGGCCAAAACCAGTCCATTTCAGTTCTGAGTGGGATTATTGAAGCATAAATAAAAAATGTTATTCCAGCAATCTATGATGTACACAGTAGGAGTTAGAAAACCTAAAGGGAAGAACACATTAGGCATTTCTCAAGCTGAAAGAACTGAGGAAAAAATGTAAGCCTCGAATTGAAATATTGAAAGATTCCCTGGGTACTATGCTGAATAATGCAGGAAATATCAAAAGATGATGGATGGAATACACAGAGTCACTATACAAAAAGAATTGGGAGATGATCATCCATTTCAGGAGGTGGCATATGATCAAGAATGGTGTTGAAGGAAGAACTCAAAGCTGCACTGAAGGAGTTCACGAAAAAGAAGACTCTGGGAATTGACAGAACACCCATTGAGATGTTTCAACAAACAGATGCTCTGCTGGAGGCACTTACTGGGCTATACCAAGAGATTTGGAAGACAGCTGCCTGGCCAGCTGACTGGAAGAGATCCATACATGTACCCATTCCACAGAAAGGTCATCCCACAGCATGTGGAAATTATCAAACAATATCATTGCTATCACACAAAAGTAAAATCTTATTGAAGATAATTAAAAAATGATTGCAGCAGTATATTGACAGAGAACTTCCAGAAATGCAAGCTGGATACAGAAGGGGATGTGGAGCAAGGGATATCATTGCTGATGTCAGATGGATCTTGGCTCAATGCATAGAATACCAGAAAGATGTTTACTTGTGTTTTATTGACTGTGCAAAGGCATTTGATTGTGTGGAACATAACAAAAATTATGGATAACTTTGAGAAGAATGGGAATTCCAGAACACTTAATTGTACTCATGAGGAACCTGTATATAGACCAGGAGGCTGTTCAAACACAAGGGGATATTGCATGGTTTAAAATCAGGAAGGGAGTTGTACCCTTTCACCATACTTATTCACACTATATGCTGAGCAAATGATACAAGAAGTTGGACTATATGAAGAAGAAAGTGACATCAGGATTGGAGGAAGACTTATTAACAACCTGTGATATGCAGACGACACAGCTTTGCTTACTGAAAGTGAGGATGACTTAGAATACTTACTGATGAAGATTAAAAACTACAGTCTGCAGTATGGATTATGCCTCAATATAAAGAAAACAAAAATCCTCACAACTGGACCAATAAACAGCATCATGATAGATGGATAAAGATTGAAGTTGTCACAGACTTCACATTGCTTGGTTCTATAGTCAACACCAATGGAAGCAGCAATTAGGACATCAGACGATTTATAGCACTGGGCAAGTCAGCTGCAAAGAACCTCTTTCAAGTACTAAGGAGCAAAGATGTCTCCTTGGGGACTAAGGTACACCTGACACAACCATGATATTTTCATTTGCCTCATATGCATGTGAGAGCTAGACAGTGAATAAGGAAGACAGAAGAAGAATTGATGCTTTTGAGTTATGATGCTAGGAAACAATGCTGAAAGTACCATGGACTGCTGAAAGGACTAACTAATCAGTCCTGGAAGAAGTGCAGCCAGAATGTTCCTTGGAAATGAGAATGGCCAGGCTTCGTCTCACTGCTTTGGTCATGTTACCAGAAAACAATTTTCTGGAGAAGGATGTCATGCTTGGTAAAGTGGAGGGTCAATGAAAGAGGGAAAGGCCCTCAGTGAGATGGATAAACACGGTGGCTGCAGCAATGGGGTCAGGGATAGTAGGAATCAGGAGGCTGGCACAGAACCAAGCAGTGTTTCGTTCTTTTGTACATAAGGTCACTGTGAGTTGGAGACAACTCACTGGCAGAAAACAACAACATGATGTACACTGAAAATAAGAATTATAAACTTAATGTGATAATAGTGAAGTGGGGAACTGAGAGTTGGTCGTGCTGGAACATTAAAGAAATTCTTTTGGCAATAGACGCCATCATCACTTCTGCCAGTATTGTTGTAGCCTGTAACTCACAACATCTTGTGAACCTATAATATAATTACACTTAACTAATTTAATTATCTAAAATTTCTATTCTAGTTTTATTGCAAGTGTAGTTTCATGTGTAGAAGATGAAGTTACTGATATATTACTACTTTATCAGAATTTACTATGTGAATATATCAGTAATTTAGTTAGCATGGTGTGCCTGCTCTTAAAGTATTTTATTTATTTGATTAATTATTTTGCAATAGTGCTGTTAATACTCTTATAAATAATGGTGTTGCTATGTGCCATCGAGTCAGACATGACTCAGTAGTGACCCCTTCTTGGGTTTCTGAGGCTGTATCACTATGGAAGTAGATTGCCCAACCTTCCTTCTGAGGAGTGGCTGGTGGAACTGCCAGCCTTCTGGTTAGCAGTCAGGTGCCTTAGGCACTACACTACTAGCAATGAGAAATTATTTCGAATGCTTACATGTAAACAGAGGAAATTTTGCTTTAAGAATTTGGCTGTTATTCTATTGTAAATCTTGTTGGTCTTATAATCCTTTGTGACCTCCCAGAACATTCCCATTGCCTGGCACACTGTAGGGGTATTAGTTAAGGCTGTGCTGGCTGCTGTTAACAAATAAACTTCAAATCTTAATTGTTTAATGCAAGTTATTTCCTATTATGTCAGGTTCCTACCAAATGTAGGACAGGGCATTGTCTTCAACATTTGCCTCCTAGACTCATGAGTGCTTTTTCATATAACATGCAGACCAGGAAGGATGAGAGGATTTTCTGTGTAGGTTTTTTTAGTGCTCACAATCCCCTGGCTAGAATTTAGGTGCATTGATGGAACTACTACAAGAGAATTTTGAGAATTTTGTACAGTTAGGTGCCGAGGGAGTTGAAACGAGTTTTACGATCATTTGACAGTCTTCCATAGTGTTCCTTGAATATGTGTAAGAATATTATAGGGTAGAGAAATAGGAGAATGAAGTGTCTGGATAGAAGTGGTTTGTCTTTTCCATAAAAACCATAGATTGCAATAGTATTTTTGGTTCTTTTATTTAGTATGAAGATTATATGCCATTGCATGCACCTCTACCACCTGCATCTCCTCAGCCACCTGAGGAACCTCCTTTGCCAGATTTGGATGAGGAATTATCTAGTAAAGAATCAGAATATGAAAGCAGTGATGATGAGGACCGACAGAGGTTTGTAATGTCAAATAATACTTGTTTAAATATATCAATAATAATTTGTTTAGAATCCAAGAAACATAGAATGTAGAAAGGTACTCCATTGCTGTTTTGAATTTTGCATATATAGTCTATCCTCCTTTTTGCAGATTCTGTACTTAGAAATTTAATTACTTGCTAAGATTTATTTGTAACCCTAAAAGTAATACTTGGCAGCTCTTTCACGATCATTCACAGATATATGGAGAATGGTGAAAAACTTGAGTTGTCCACTTTGTGCATGGTTAAATAAGACTTGTTTAAAATTCTCTGATTTAGTGTACCTAGTAACTTTATAGAACATGATTACTGTGAGGAATGAGAATCTACTATATTTCTTCATAATTTGGAGTCATTAGAATGTGTCTGTCACTGTTGTTGTTGTTGTTGTGTGCCATTGAGTCGGCCCTGACTCATAGCGACCCCTCCTTGGGTTTGGGGGGCTAGTGACAGACACCACAATGTACAATGCTCTTCCTACTTCCTCTCTGTGGTTCCCGTTTGCATTCCTCCTTTCCTATCCCTTCCTGTCCTCTGAGCTTTGTCCCTTGACAAATACCACCCTTTAGATCTCATATGGTTGATAGTTCTGAGGAGTGCATACGCCCTTGGTGTTATTGTTTGTCTTATAAGGCTGTTGTTCAGCTGAAAGACATTTGTTTTGTGTAACTGAATTTGTTCTTAAAAATTTGGATAAACTCTGGTTATAAGGAATTTCAACAGTTTACTACATGTTTTCATTTTTCACCACTTAGATAAGAAATGTTTAAGACATATTTTAACCATACTCCCTTTACCTTATCCAGATTTTGTTGTGTGCTTGTTTTGCTTTCAAATTTCACAAGTATAACCATGGGGGGATGTAGCTATGACTACGGGATTTTGTGCTACTCTGTGGAAGCATTGTGCCTAATTATATGGAAGATAAAAAAATGTCTAGACAAGATCTACTCTTAATAAATACTAAATAAGGGATATAAACTATGTACAAGGTATCAATTGTCATTCCTTAAGTGTTAAGGATGTTAAATTATAGTATTTGAAAACTTTGGTCTCAGGTAGTTTAAATTATCTTGCTTATATTATCAGTTATACACAAAAGACTTCTAAAGAAAGAAAAATACTTGACCTTCACTTTAATAGAATTCTGTTGTGTACAGTCTTGAATATCAGTTAAAACAAATTTAGATAAATTATTAATGTATACTCTTCAACCATTTAGTGTAATGTTCAGGCATTTTATTTGGAAAATTAATAATGTTTATAATGAAACATATCTTTAAAAATTGCTAAGTTGCGCTTAAGTGCATTCCTTATTCATTCAGTGTAAGATGAAAGTGGAACAAGGAGATTTTGAATTTGTCAAATTGATTACATCTTCACTGATGGCTTAGAAGTTATATTTATGCCACACAAATCATTTTATAAATTAATTATTTTATAAGCCAAAATACATACTTAAGCTTAAGAGAAACAGTTGTAATTAGCTATGCTTCTAGATAAGTAATTTTTTTTCCTTCCTTCTCTCCAATGTAGAATGACCAGATTAATGGAACTAGCAAATCTTCAGCCCAAAAGACCAAAAACAATAAAGCAACGCCCTGTGCGGAAAAAACGAAAAATAAAGGATATGTTAAATACACCTTCATCTACTTCACACGGGTAATTTTGTTGTGGATTATGAAATAAGAACTGTTTGTTTTTACTTTGTCTACTTGTTTAACTCACATAATTCCTCAATCTGGCTTTGTTTCATCTCCCTCTACTTGGTTCACCAGTTATTTCCTATTTGCCGAATTTACAAGTATTTATAATTCTCTCACAGTTGATCAGCTTTTGATAATATTGACTGTCTCAGATCTCAAAATTGTTCACCCTTAATTTTACATTATGTTTCTCTTTTTATCTCCCACCTTACTGCCTGCCTATCTTTCAATTTTAGAACCTCTTCATTTCTGTTCCTTTAAAATACTTTGTTCTATGTGCTTGTGTCCATGATCTTTTGTTGATATTGTCTTCCTTATTGATCTCTTTCATTTTTATGGTTTCAACTCTTGTAGCTAATGAATACCAGATTTCTATCTCAGATTTAACTTTTATCCTGACACCTAGAATCATCATTCCCAGCTTCTTATTTCCATTTTCTGAATGTGTTATAGCCACTTGAAATAATCTCCAAAACAAAACTCAGTTTAGTTTCCTTTCACTGTCAGTTTTTCCTCGTACTTTCAGAGTTTTGATAGTGGTATTACCAATGTATTTATATAAAATTACATTAATTCCTTCTAACTTATCCCTGATACCAGACAGTTTTTTACTTGAAAATACCCATCAAATAAAAGTTCATAAATTTTAGTTTGGCACCCAGGACATCCCAGAATACTTTTTAAACATATATTTCAGTATAAATCAAAATATTTAACATTTATTGGATGGCAAAATTTTCTGCTAAATACTGTGTGTTATTTGACTCATGCTTCCAAAGCTTAATTCCATCTTTTTAAATATGCAAGAGCTCCCCTCCCACTTCCTCCTGATAGTTACCTCTTGCCAGTGTCCATCCCTCCATGTACTCCTGCCCCCTGAGCTGTCTCCCTGTGCATAAACAG